GCAGAAACCTTTTTGTATTGTGTTCTTTTTTTTTTTTTTTTTGCTTAGTTAATCATGTGCACACACCTAAGCTGTTATTTTGCTACTCGTTTCTCCTCCACCAACTACCTGGGAGTGTTTTGCTCACCTAATCAGCTGCCCGGTCCTAGCATTTCAGTTTATCCACTTACCTGGTTGCTGCCTCTGCCCTCACATTTACCTGTGTGTTCCTAGGTCTCCTCCATTGCATCGGTTGCATGCTCCACTGTCTTGTCAAAACCTAACGCTACCTTACTTGCTGGTTCCCTGTTGCTACCCTTCTGCACCCCTCACCTGTCAGTCCACACTGCTGACTGTCTCTCCATTACATTTCTCTGCATACGTTGTAGTTACATCTTGCACTCTACCCAGTAAATAATCCTGGCTCCTCTTTACCATCTGTGTGTTGTGGATTTGAGTCCTCTCTCTGCACATCAACCTGACATTGTGGAGTGTTATGGCATATGAGAAGGCTTCAAACGCATAGCTCTGTTTCTCAAACCAGCTCTTTTAGATCACATTTTGTATTAAAGGTACCTCAAACAACAAACCCTTTCTTTATAACTTTTCTGTTTAGTCTAAATGCTTGGTAAGACCACAGATCTGCAGAGCTGAGGGTTCAAATAATGTCAAGTTGGCTTTAGGTGCTGATAAATCTGAAGTAGTGGTCACAAGTTAAAAAGGGAAAATATAACAGATGCATTTCAGCCATTAAATGCAATATGTTGAATAGTGTTTTTCAAGTTTGCAATGACTTTTAACATTTTTACAAGGCTGCCTAGAAAGATATAGGAGATACATTTTATTTATCATTTCATGTGTGGCTGCAACCTGGATCTGAGGAGAAAGGGCACAAAAGCAACCAGAGCCAAAGCTTTCTTTGTCTCTTCTGTAATTATGGGAGCACTGAAGAGCACAGTCTTTCTTCATCACAGCAGCGGCCCACAGTAGCTGCTGGGTGTCAGACGGATGAAGCAGAACATTTGGGGGTGGGGAGGGTGCTGTGTGTTTGGGAATGACACAGATAAACTTGGTGACCAAGTGGAATGACACAAATCATAACAGACAGACAGAACAGCTGGTAGACATAATAAGAGAAACAGGCTGTTATTTGGGATAACGGAGAGCTCAAAGTTATGTAAGCAGGGGCTTACAGCTTCAGAAATCTTTCAACAGCAGTAGATGTTTATTGAGGCTAAGCTGTGCATATGGATTTTTTTTACTGCTGTATTCAGTTTCCTACATGTTCAGTGTCTACTATGGTCTTTTCTGAGATATGTAGTTAAAATGTAAACAGCTTATATTGAGCAGTACTCAAACCTATTAACAAAACAAAATCTGTTTGCATGTAGAACCACAATTTTCAGATTTTAGATGTTAGTCCATCAGCCAAAAGTCAAATATACAGTATGTTTATTATTAAACAGAATGATTTATTACTTGACATTTCACACTTGCATTTGAGAAAAACTACCCGTGGATCAGGAATAATGTTCTCCATAATGTACAGTATGTAAAAGTAGCGTTTCTCTTCTACAAGTCAAAATGTCAAGGAGGACAAGAAGAAAAATGGACTGAGAGTGAAGGAGAAGAGAAAGGGTGGATCAAGGGGCCACTGCAAGTCAAGGCTGACTCACAGGGACTGAAGGGTGGAGGTTTTGGTGTTATGTTTTTTTTTTTTTTTTCACTGGATCTGGAGATTCTCTCCACCACACACACGCACGCAGGCTCTGGGACTGCCTCCCTAGCCAGGTGCCGAAAAAATGGGCTGAGTTATTTGCCACATGCACTGAATTATTCAACCTGTGATTAATTATAATTCAGCCTCACAAAGGCAGGGGCTGGGGGAATTCCTCTGTTGGTCTGGATTGCAACTTATTGTGTTTTTCTTCCCGTGCAGGCTGATGTTGGGGCAGAGCAGAGACCTACTGTAACAGGGGTACTGGTTGCCTGCAGGTTAAATTTAGGCTCGCACTGCTGGAGATGTTGCATAACATGAAGGGAAGCAGTGGACTCTGTAGATGGGAGCAGAGCAACAAGAGTTTAACACACATTTCAGGGTAAAGAAAGTCAGAATGACCAGAGATGCCTTTATGTGTAATTATGTGGGACTCAAGTTGGTGAGTCAAGTATGAGTTGCCAACATCTTGGATTCTGCTGGAATAGATATTTTATTCATTTTAAATCTGAGTCCCAGTTTAACTGTCTCCTAACACCCCCAGCATGACTGAGTACCTTGGGTGCAAAACAAATAAACAAAAATTGAACGATTGCACAAGTATTAACCACTTTTATTCCCTTGTATCCTTCAAATGGCTCCTACCTTTTGTATCTGTGCTGTAGCCAGCACAATATCATACACCAATCGCTATGAGCAAAACACCCACCTAATAAGCCAGCCATAGGCTGCATCCTACTTTTATGCCTGTCTGACGAATGCCATAAATATGGCTTACTTTAAGGAACTGGGAGCTAATCATAGATGCTGTTATACAAGCTGGAACAACAAGTATGCCACCAACCTACAGCTACTTTGTAATTGGAGTGGGTTGCCCTCGGGTCTTTGGGGTGTCAGAGTTGGAATGAATGATGATAACCTGTTCCCTATTAGCTAACACAAAATCAGCTAAAGAGCTCATAAGGTCCAAAGCATTGTGCAAGAAATGTACAGCAGAATCTGTTGACTGCAGGGTGACTGCTTTCTATGCAGAACAGTGAGCATGACTTGACAAAGGAGGCTGCTGCTTAAGCCTCCCCTGTGATAACCAAGAACGCCCTTGATTAACTCATCACTTCTGGATCCACATCTGACTCATTCGTTTTTGAGTTTTTAAATAATTCGAATAACAAAAGGTTGTGCGTCCTTTGCTGCTCTGAATTCAATAAAGTAAACCTCAGGGGTGTTTATGTGGTAGGTTGTACTCTGATCAGAATACAACAATGACTACTTCTTTATTTGAGCTAAATGATAATTTAATAAAAAGTGCATAAGCTATAACCTCAGATAGCAGTTATCAGCAGGTAAATACCCACTAGTATAAATGAAAATTAACAAGGTTTATTTGAAGGTCCAGTTCCCATATTCACAATAATGATGATACTGTAAACATTTCTCAAACAGTTTCACATGTCTGCTCCTGTAACATCAAGCACGAATCAAGAGTTGGTGAGAAAATGCTTTTCTGTGTCCTATGACCTGTATAGATGACCCACATCAGGATCAGGGTTTGAGCCATGTGTATAATATAGCTTACCTGATGAAGAGGTTTGACGGGACCAGTGAGTAGGAAACAGTGAGCCACTCCACCTGATCCTCGTTGAATTCCCATATATCCCGTGGAAGGAGCTTAATGGAGGGATATTGCAGGTCATTAAGTTTGATGTGAAAGGGTCAACACAGATCGTCTCTGTGGTGAAAAATGCAGGGTTGACCAAATGTAAATGGTGGTATGATCTGCTGATATGGGAAAGTAAACAAGGAAGCATGATTACACAACAAACTTCCCCGATCTACAAAAATGATGGATGAGGCTAAGGACACTATGGAAAGAATGGCTGAATTTGTATGTGTGAAAATTTAGAATGGTAGTCAAGCTGACCTGAAAACTGTTCTCAGACTCTGAGTTTTAGAGATGGATATGAATGCCTGTACAATCAAAGCAAAAATACAAATCTTAGAGGTGGCACAAACACATCACAGGAACACTAGCCATACAGTTGGTGCTTAGGTTGTTTGAGGCAGACAAAAAAGAAATTTCATCTGCAGACAATAACACTGATATTGGACCATTCTGTAAAAGCCTAGAAAATGAAGGCAACTTAGAAAAAGATTACTTTGAATAACATCTGTGTTGGCAGCTATTGTATAGTCAAGGGAAAGATTATTGCCAAGGTATGGCTGTATTTAACCAACTAAACTATTTACAAACAAATATTTAAAAAAAACTTCATGGGTCAAATTTTCACAAGTATTACATGATAAAAATTCTGTTTCTGTTCAGTCTGTTGTTTGGATGTCTGGACTTTCCCCCAGGTGAGTGGTGCTCAGGTCCAGTGTGCAATGTGTCTTTTTCCTTTGTTCCTAAACTTAACCAACTAGTTTCTGTTCTTAAAATTAATTAAGTAGTTTGTGTGACAAAACGTAATGAAGCCGTGACAGTTTGATAATCATATAACTGCATGTTTGACAGTTTTCATGACAATGGAGGTCCAGTTGCAGTTGTGCATGTAAAGCTTGTGAGTGTGAGGTATGTTGTTAATGTTGGCAAAAATCTTGTGGTTTTGCCTGCCAACATAGGAATGCTATTTCAAGAGATGCTCCTATGGGTAGCATGAGAGGGAAGGGACAAATGGATGGGTCATATAGGCTGGGGAGCGTGTTGGTCTGAATACACCTTTAACGGTTTGCTTTTATACAAAACCTGCTGACAAAGTATTTTCTGTGGCTTCCATATGCTAAAAAAATAATTGGCCGGCAACATTTTCCTTGGCCCCCTAAAACGTACTAATCGTTTGTGATCATAAAAAAATTAAATAAAAAGCACATTTGTTACATCACGCATATACAATGTACCAAAATCACATCACAGTTTAACAAAGCATGGGGAATAGTGTAATTTCTCCCAGAGGTATCAGCATGTGCAAAAATGTAAAAAAAAAAAAAAAGTGCAGTCCTCGTTAGTGCGACTGAAACTCCTGGAATATCTTTTTAGGTAAAAAAAAAAAAAACATAACCGCTATTAGCAACGTTCCAAATGGAGCTGGCCGCAAAACAGAGCCTGCACACGGCCATGCCTTTCCCCATCTCCCCCCCTTCTCTACTCATGTTCCTGAGGTCAGTAAACAAGAAATGTGTGTTTCCCTTTAAGGAGCCCCCACCGAAGGCACAGCGGAGGGAGGAGGAGCGGCTCTGCGGAACAGCGGCTGAGGAGGGGAAAAAAAAAAAATCCAACACAGGACGGTTTCAAGTCGCCCCAATAGAAACTGTGCCTGATTTGTGGCCAATGTTGGAGATGTAAAAAAAAAAAAACGAAGCGAAAGAGAGGGAGGGAGAGGAGAGAGAAGAAGGAGGGAGGAGATGGGGGAGGAGGAGGAGAAGGGGGGGAGGAAAAACACTAAAGGGGTAGCTATGGAGATGGAGCGTTTTCCTGGCTGCTTTCTTTGACAGGTGTTGAGTGGGGCAAAAGTCTTAAAACAGAATCCAGCATGTACGCCAAAGGTAAAGGAGCTGTCGTCCCTTCCGATAGCCAGGCGAGAGAAAAGTAAGTGAAATGTGCGCTATATGTAAGTTAGCAGGCGAGGGGGCAGAGGAGGGAGTCCAACTTTCTAAACTAGCTACTGTAATTTAAAAGGAGTGCAGCTACTAAAGTGCGCTCCTGTGCGCGGTCTCCACCTCAGAGGTGCGTCTCGTCAACTTTTTAAAATTTACCTTGTTTGCACTTTTGTGTTTTCGTACAGGATATTTGCAAACATTGCGTGTTTGTGTAAAGCACACACACACACACACACGCTCCTGTAACTCGGTACAAGCTTTTTGACAGCAAGCGTGTTTTTACTTTATGTGACGTTGTACTGTAATCTTGTAATCTTCTGCTGCATTTAAAGCACAAGGAGCGTATTTGTATGTCGTTTCAGGTAAAACGTGTTTCTGTGGGGTGTGTATATGCTCATCCGTGTGCGGGCACAATGCTCGGCTGCTTCTTGTAAACTTTAAGAGCTGAAGCTGCCGGTTGGTTGGATTGTGTTGTGTTTTTAGAATAAAACAGGCAGCTTGGTTTGTTTGGAGGCGTGAAGCCGGGTGCTATCAAACCTGGCGATGAAGGGAAAAGTTTTGCGATGGTAAACTTTTAGTAGCCCGTCCATTGGCGTGCAGGAGAGCCACGATGATGTGGTGTTATCAGAAAAGCCGACTTATTGTAAGACCAATGTGAGGATGCACGGTCGCATGTGATTCTTGATGTGTGTCTGGAGGTAGTGGACAAAATAGCTGGTGCAGTGACATTTTGCACAATGTTGTGTGAGCGTTTACTTTTTGTCTTTGGCGCAGAAGCACATGTGCCTGAGTGCATTCTGGCTCTTTAATAAGGGATAACAAGATAATGGAACTTTAAAAATGTCACTGGACTAAAGTGCACTGCCTCCTATGTCTGCCTTTATTTCAGTGATGCCCAGTACATTTGCATGGAGCTCGGACATTGTTTGCACCCCAGCACTTTAGATCAGCAATGTCTTGTATTGTGATTAGTTCAACAGTCTGAGGCTAGAGGAGTGAGCAGGGATCCTTGCTGAGATGCAACTGTCAGGTCCTGGGAGGTTGTGCTGTTAAACATCATACATCTTTAACAGAAGCAAAATTTCTGGAGAGACGTGTGTTTTTTTTAATGCGCTGCCATGTCATATCCAGTTGCCAAAGCTTTCTAGAGACTCCTCGTGCTCATGTTCTTAATGTAAGGTTCCTCGAGTACGACTTTGTATTAATTCAGTCTGAATTCACATCAGCCTGTTGGAAAAACTGAGAAGCTCTGTGTGTTTGTGTGTGTTGTTGTGTTGGAGCAGTGAATCCTCAATGAAAACAGCCCCATGTGGTTTTATTAAACAGTAGGCAGAGTGACCTTCGTACCAGCATATGATGCTTTAATATTGCACATGAGCCGTCAGCAGACACCAGGCTGTTTTTACACCTGTTTGTGCGCCTTTGTTTACAGTACATCCAAAGCAATTGATTATTTAAATGGTTTGTGTTTGGACAGTTTTTAGTTGCACTTTTTATTGTTCAGGGGAGTGTGGATTATGTTCCATGTGTTACTGGGAGTAAAATCAGTCCCGAGGCAACATGTATTTCAAACGAAACTGTAGGAGGGGGATTAATAATTGAACTCTTAAGAAATAAATGTCTTTTGAGAGCTGGAAGTGATGGGTGCTTCTGTGTGAATAACATTTGTTTATTCAAGTGTGTTTGGATTTATTTCCACTCCTCCTTCATGAGCACTCCACAGTAAACATCATATTATTTAAACCTCTGATGTGTAGCTGTTATAGGTACCGTCCAGACCTAATGGACGACATTTGCCCTCTCCACTCGCCTGTCTTGTTACCCTAACCTGCCCTGCAGGGTCAACACATGTTTCCTTGTAAGTGTGGAGTTCACAACAGGCACCTCAGCGCATCACTGAATTGGCTCATGTTCATATTTACATATTCATATGACTCTTTACATATTCAGACAGTGAAAAGAGGGCGCCCCCGGATGGAGTTGCGTCCAATTAAAGCAGACTCAGTCAGCATAGTTGCAGCTCTGGCTTATCAAGTCATTTACTTAGTTAAAGAATGATATCACTTCTCTGTCTTGGTTTCATAAAGTATAGCTCTGGTGAGCTCTGTGGTATGTTCGAAGTACAAAAGCAAGATGACTGAAACTGCTGTATATCAGCCTTTATCAGATGTATACATCAGTGGTTACTAGGTCCCACTGTACTGCAGTTAGATTTGATAAACAAAACTCTGTTGTCCTTGGCAATGTTTTCCTTGTATAGGTGAAAGCATTTGGACAATACAGGGCAGGGCATGTTGGCTACTCTGGTAAACTTGACGCAACAAGGAAGAAGTTGTAGAGGGGAGTATTTGCTGATGAATGTATTTATATTTTATGAATTGCTTCCTTTTATGTCTTTTGCTGCTGTGTTAGATATTTTTCACACACATAAACATACTGAATTTTAAAAAGAGAGTGTCTGCAGGATTATTTTCTTTAAACACAGTACTTGTTAGCAATCAGGTGTCATTTTGAGTGATGGCCAGCTGCTGAAGCTTTACAGGGAAAGTGTGGATTTACTTCACTCTGGAAGTTTCCAAATTGCCACAGTTTCTTACATTACTCTCTCTATTAACCCCAAGAAAAGAGTGACTTCTGAAATAGTTCTAACAGCTGGAACTTGGTTTATGTGGTGTTATGTTGTCACTGTTTCATGTGATGAAGTTTTCTTTTAGCACTGGATATCGCTGTCTTCCCCTTAACATTATAGGAAATGATGCTTAGTTTATTGTCTAGGATTCTGGTACAGTAGGGGTCATGATTCATGGAACCTGCAGCAGGAGGCTGTGAGACCACAAAGTAATAGTACAGTAGTGCAGTCCTGTGTTGATAGCACTGAACACCTCAGTTATCAGCCCCCTGAACACACTGGTTCTCAGGTTTAGTACACAAAGTGTTCTAATATACAAGCTCAAGTGCACATTTAAGCCTGTGTGTGACTGCGCACAACACTGTTTTAAGTACAGCATGTATTGTTTGTTTCATTTAAAGCCTTGAAAGCAACTCTTGAATCCAACCTGTTTGTTCAGAAACACACCAGTCAAAGCAAAGCCAGTCACACGTACATTTCACACTTGTTCAGATTCCTCTACACGGCCAAGGCCTCGCTGTGCAGCTGGAATTCAGCCTGGTGTCACTGTCCTGAGATCACAGGTAGTGGTCATGACGGGGGAGGCGAGTGCTTTCTCTGCACATCCTTGAGCAATGTTATTGTGATCAGACGTTTTTTTTAACATGCTAACAAAAATGGTGGAGAAAGAAAACGCACCCGTGTCCTTGAGACCATGAAATATTTACCCTACACACTTTTTTCCAAGCATTTTACTTAATTTAATTTGAACAGGGGTAATACGGCGTCTTCATTATTAATGTCACCTTATTATTTAGTAACTGGAACCTCTTTGAAATGTGCACTGATGAATCCGGCATCTTAATTAAAGGTGCCATTTACAAACATATTTAACAGCTTGATCAAACATCACATTTTTTTAAAAGCCTGTCCTTAGTTTCCAAAAGAATTCTGCTCCCTCTGTTTGTTTACAGATGTTTTTTGTGGGGTTTCAAGTGTTGCTGGATTTGTTTGGGGAAAGAGCTTCAAGTGTAAAGTTAATCAGTTTGTTTTGAACATGGGGTTCTTTACATCCTCCACTCCTCCTCTGGCTCCTCCCATGTATTTACATGCAGTTTAATGGGGATCTTCAGGTCTGAATGCATGGTTTTGATTCTACACAGATGGCTCTGCCATCTGCATTTTAGCCTTTTGAAGGAGGCATAAAGAGCTGCACACTAACATAGGCAGAAACACTGCACTAAAAGTAAAGAAACCCTTGATTTACCCTCGGCACCCTTTGGCTGACTGCTTTCATTCAGATATGTCAACAGTCAATTAATGCTGCCTTTCGTCAGCCACTCTGGGTGCATCTGCACAAATTTGTTAGTTTTCTCACTTGAAATAAAGGACACAGCCCAAATATTGAGGCCATGTGCCTGAGGTTTGGCAACAGAGCACACACAAGCGAAGTGCATCTTTTATTGTTATTCAGAGAAGAGTAGGTATCTGAACAAACCACAGGTAAATAAGACTTCATGTGTTTTTAAAAATAATTTAGTTTTTAACACGGAGAACAAGTGATTCTTTTTCAACTTTGGACAAATTTGTCTCAGTGAGTTACATCACGTTATTGTCTTCAACTCCTGCGAGTGGAGGCTCCAGCAGTAACAAAACTATGCCAATATTATCTCTTATCACAAATCATAAACCTCTCTCCTCTCTTTCTCTCACTGAAAAGTGTTTTGAGTGAAAATCAGACTTTGCTGAAAATGAGCGTGTTATCAGGCAGTTAAACGTGAGGATGTTCACAGGTAAGTCTGTCGACAGGTAACATCACCGAGTCCAGCTGGCTGCTGTAGACAGTGAGTGCTGTATTATACTGTATGTGTGTTTGTTTTGGTACTGTATGTGTGCACGCGCGTGTATGACAGTGTGTGGATTAACCCATGACTAAAGCCATGCATGTTTACACACTTATTGACACTGATTTGTTTTGACAAAGGAACTGCCATAACAAAGCTTGTGTGCAGCAGAGATCAGCTTTAGTGAACCAGCTTCACAACAGGTGTCTCAAACAGCCATCTAGTCCCTCACCCACCTTCAAATACTATGTCACTGTATTCACACCCTTTCTAAACCATACCGTCACATCTATACTGTGTTTATAAATGTTTAATATTTAGGAAATAATATTTTGTCTCTTTATCCAGCTACACTTTGTGTCGCATTCAGGACGCCACTGAATCCATAAGTTATGCATGTTGTATATCTATGTTCTTTTCTGAAAGATATAGCTTTCACATGAAAGCAGATGCAGTACAGGCCCTGCTTAATCCTCCTCCATCATTTCCGTCATGCATACCTTACCTCATCCTGCCCCTGCTCTCGCTGCTGAATTA